AAGGAACGCACAATTTAAATTTCGTGACACAGCGGATAGAGTATACAGAAAGAGAATAAACAGTACCAAGTTTTTACGGACCATAACAATTCTATATAATGATAAACCATATAAAAAATCATAAAGCTTTATGACTATAATCAGAATGATCTGGTAGCAAAAATTGGAGAGACCCAAAACATCCCAGTAAACCGTGACAAAAACCTTTTAATTTTAGACGCCCAAGCGCACTATTAACAAAAATTTAAACAATTATGATTTACAGAGTTTCGGAAACCATGATCCATTACCGTCTCCCCCCGGATATAAGCGCCACCCTAGGATAAGCGCCTGGCGCTTCTAATTGGCATATGGCGCTTATATCCCCTCCTCGATTATAAGCGCACCCCTTGAAAAAACTTGTTTTATTATAAGCGCACGTAAACTTTAAAATTTGAAATGTGTTCAAAAAGCTGTAACGATTTTTACTTTAGCAGGCGGATATGTTGCAGAATCGGTTCCCTTCACATTCGGACCCTGCACTGGATGCGGGTCCAGTCAGCAGGACCTGTCAGGAGCTGGATGTGAGTCAGATTGGGTGTATCTCCCAGCGCGCGCGAGAATTTCACAGACGATCCCATGTAACTTCGACTCGATTGAAAAGGCAAGCACGAGACCTACAGTTTGGTGTTAAAAGATATAAAAAAATATGTATGTCATTTTATAAACGCCGGCGCTTATAAATTTACTCGATTATAAGCCCACCCCCATGAAAAAACCTGTTTTATTATTGCCCCCCATGGGGGTATATCCGGGGGGATACGGTATTGTCACATTCCGGCGAAATTATAATCGTAGATACCGTGATTGAAAAGCGAGAACCAATCGGAGCTGTGAAATCGATGTTGTGTATCAATACATCACGTCGTTGGTATAATTTGAGTATCAATTATGCTGGCCTGGTGCAAAGATGCATGGTTACGTTAAAACGAATGTAACACATAGCTGGGAAAAAAATATATAGTGAATAGATCGTAACGTACATCAATTTTGCTAGACTTCACAATTCATTGAATCTTCCTGGATGTTTTATCGCATGTCATTACGTGATCTCACGATTGTACAAAATATGGTATATCATTTAGAATCTGGATGGAAATTAAACCCCTCTTCGCATGGCATCAACCCCAAAACATTATGCGACAGGGTGTTTAAGGTTGATGTCATCGCAATATCATGTCTTTTGGTAGGAGGATTATTTTTTAAAGCCCTCCGGTAGCAAGCTCAACTGGTGGTGTCGTTTGTTCAATTAGATAATCATATCTTATTGACGACTTCGCGTAGTTAGGGCTTATAATTCCAACACTGTCCTGGTTATCCAAGCGTTCTAAACCGTTTCCTTTTTTGTTGGGTATGTGCGGACTTGCTGTTGGCGACTTTGTTTCTCAGTTGTGCTTAAAATTGGATGAAACTGTATGTTTAGTTACTATGCTGCAAAATTGTTGGTTAAGTACTTTTGCAAACTGCTTCTGGCGTGATTTGAGTATCAATGATTTTGGCCGCTTTGCGCCCAATGTGGTCGCGTATATAGGACAAAAACCAGGACCCGAAAAAAAGTACCCAAATCTGTACAGTGTTTCAGGGTGGGTCAACGAAATGATGACAGGGTTCAAGTGTGACTACCCGTGATAGAAATTAGTGGCTTTAAGTGACGGCGGGTGATATCCGTGTGATGGTTCGTGATAGATTTGGCGGATTTTGTGACTGTCCGTGATAACTTTAGCGGAACATATGACTGCTCGTAATAACTCCTAGATGTTTGTGACGGCCCGTATAAAAACCCGTTGAAAAGCCTTGACAATATATTTTGGAAAGTTGGAATGCAGGCCGTCGATGAAGTCAGATGTCGATCTGACGGACACAGATGAACTCGTCCAAATAAATTTGAAGGTTGCAATGTGGGCCGTAGATCGAGTAGGTGTAGATCTGACAGTCGAAGATGTCGCGGAATTGGAGGGGACCAGCTGACGCGAAATGCATTTGCCCGGGAGCAGGGACCGTCAATCTTTTCGGTGTGATCGCGATCGCTCGTCGTGCTGCTGCATTCTGACAAAGTCAAAAATGTTGCCGAGAAAACGCCAAGGAAAGAACAGTGCAGCGCACTTTCTACCCCCCTCCAAGGAAACACACCAAAGTTTACCGCAGCTGCGCCGAGATGGAAATCAACAAAACCGGCTGTTAAGTCACACTGAAAATGAGCGTTGAGCAAAAAAGTCTAGTTGAAAACGTGTCGGTGTGAAAAATCGATGGCAAAAACCAGGTATTACGTGCCCCAAAAATCTTCTAGGGTGAACCAGAAGATGTAGCCCAGAAACCGAACCGGAAATTTTTGAGTACCCGAACTGAATCAGGCGATATCTTCAGCAGTAGCACCTGGCAGCATTTGACGTGGCGAATGTAAAATCGTTTGTCATGGGCGGGTCGAGTTGGCGAGTTGTCGCTAGTAGAGTTGGGGGGGTCGCATCCTGAAATCCTCTGGCTGTGAAGTCAGGATTGTTACGATTGTCGACGAAGGTGGCGAACGAAGGCGATAGGCGGCGCATTAGTGTACGTTAGTTAGCGAAGGTTGTTGAAGCAGTAACCGAGTCGAGTGATATTCCGGTCTAAAATGTCGGACTCATTATTCCAGCTAGATGACGTCAGCTCCTCCGGCTGGATTGTTCAGATTCGCCGAGCTTTTTGTCACAATTCGCCGAGGGCTCCTGGGCAGAGATGAAAGATTGCAGCTATCGCTCCCCCCCTTGCACTGCTGCTACCGCCTTCTTCAGTTCATCGTAAGTAGTTCGTACCCCTTGAAAATCCCGTGTAGTTCCCTCGATGTTGCTCGAACGTTGTTGTCGCACGCATTTAACCAAACGCCGAGAAATCCCACGAAAATGTCGGAGCTCTTCGCCGTAAAACTGGTAAGTCCCGCGCAAAACTCCGAAACGGTTGGTCTAAAACAGCCCCATAAAATCCGCGGTTGCATGTGCAGTTCTCCTCAAAAAATCTCGGACGTACTATAGCTGCCCACTCGGTCACCATCAGTTTCCGTCGGAACCCGACCCTAGCATGTGGGTTCAATCGAGAACCAAGGGCTGTCCCTGAGTTATTCCGAGACCGAATTTCACAGAACCTAGTGGCATCAACGCTGTTGACTCCGTAGTCGAAGCTGCTCCTGCCGATGATGTTTTAACAAAGTACCATGCAGCTCCCACTGGCACTTTGCAGATGTTTCACCCATCGCTCGTCGCCGGCAGGTAAATCCGAAGCTTCAGCTGCTCCCATACGTTTTTGTATTTTCCGCTCCCCGACAATATCGCACACCACCGTTCACCCAGCGTCCGCGTCTGCCGGTAGAAGCATAAGGTTGAAGCTTCTCTTTTTTTTGTGGGTTTTGGACTCCCCGACAATATCGCAAAACCGCCGTTCACCCACCGTTCGCGTCTGCCGGTTGAAGTATAAGGTTGAAGTGTCAAACTATATATGTTGCATGTTGTGTAGGCTGTAGTGGGGTAGCCCATATGGGGTACAACCCAATTAGGGTTTACTACTTGTACTCCTGCATGCTGCTAGTTCACACATTCCTCGTTCATTCTCGTGACATGGTTTCAGAGTAGGTCCTAGTTTAGGACCGGATTTTTTTAGGGCCCACCGAACCGCGCTACCCTAAGAGTCACGCCTGTTAGTGCCGCGCCGCCCTGCCCTGCCCTGCGTTGCGCTGCCGCGTACGCCCTGCCCTACCCTGCCCGCGCGCTGCTTGGTGCTGTGTCAGAACATTATAGCTTATACATTTGTGTAGGCTGTAGTGGGGTAGACCATAAGGGGTACAACCCAATCAGGGTTAGTACTTGTACCCAATTGTTTCATAGTTCATTCATTCCATTCTCACTTCTCGTCATGATATCGAGCAAGTTCCCGAGTGGGAATACTGCCTAGGGCCCACCTTGAACTTTTTTTTTCCTGCCCGGAGCGCGCTTAGCTCCTAACCCGAGTAGCGCCTCGAGCCGCCTTAGTGGCCCCTATTGGCTGCCCTTGCTGCCCCTCGAGCCGCCCGCTACGGCCCCGCTTAGGCCCCGTCGGCCCCGCTACAGCCTCGCTTAGGCCCCGCTACGGCCTTGCTACGGTCCCGCTACGGCCCCGTCGGCCCCGCTTAGGCCCCGCTACGGCCCCGCTACGGCCCTGTCGGCCCCGCTACGGCCCCGCTTAGGCCCCGTCCGCCCCGCTACGGCCACGCTTAGGCCCCGCTACGGCCCCGCTACAGCCCCGCTACGGCCCCGTCGGCCCCACTACGGCCCCGCTTAGGCCCCGCTTAGGCCCCCGCTACGGCCCCGCAACGGCCCCGCTACAGCCCCGTCGGCCCCGCTTAGGCCCCGCTACGGCCCCGCTACGGCCCCACTACGGCCCCGTCGGCCCCGCTTAGGCCCCGCTACGGCCCCGCTACGGCCTCGTCGGCCCTGTCGGCCCCGCTACGGCCCCGCTACGGCCCCGCTACGGCCCCGCTTCGGCCCCGCTTAGGCCTCACTGCGGCCTCGCTACGGCCCCACTTCGGCCCCGTCCGCCTCTCTACGGCCCCATTTAGGCCCCACTTCGGCCCCGTCGCCACCGCGGCCCTGCCCACCCTTGCGGCCCGCCGCCACCTGCGACCTCGCCACCAAGTGTGACCCTGCCTCCTAGCGCCCGCAACGCCGAGCAGCCGAACCGCCGGCCACCTGAGCCGTCCGACCTCCCGAGCCGCCCAGCAGCTGAGCCGCCCAACAGCCGAGCCGCCCAGCACCGTGCAGCCGAGCCGCCCGACAGCCGAGCCGCCCCGCACCAGCAGCCGAGCCGCCCTGCAGCCGAGTCGCCCGACAGCCGAGCCGCCGAGCAGCCGGATCGCTCCACCTACCTGGTAAGAGCACAGTCTCTGCCACTGCACTACCCTGCCTCCTGCTATTATGGCTTCCCCTAGCGTTCTCACCTTTGACGCTGAGGGTCGGGCAATGGACTTTGAGGTCTGGGTAGATGATTTGCAGCTTTTCTTGCAGTGCGATAAGGCAGACGGCCTCTCCCTGTTTGACCTCACTTCTAGTGCCTCCCCTGCCCCTGCTGCTGATGCTGACGCCACTATTCGCTCACAGTGGGCCACACGTGACGCTGCTGCTCGCCTTGCTATGCGCCGCCACTTACCGACCACTGAGCGTGCACACCATAGCCAGTACAAGAGTGCTCAGACCTTGTACGACGCTGTAGTTGCACGCTACTCTTCCCCTGCCACTGCTGCACTGAGCCGCCTCATGCTACCGTACCTCTTCCCTGACCTTGCTACCTTTCCAGCTGTTGCTGACCTCATTACGCACCTCCGCACTAGTGACACTCGCTACCGCGCTGCGCTTCCTGCTGAGTTCTGCGCCAAGAACCCCCCCCCCCCATGTACATCACCCTCTACTACATAGTCACCCGTCTCCCTGACTCTCTCCGTGTAGTCAGGGACCACTTCCTCCCGGTTTGCCCCACCACTCTCACCGTTGACCTCCTCGAGAAGGCCCTCCTAGCGATAGAGAACAACATAGTCGCTGTAGGAGCCTCTCGTGGTGACCCGCGCACCACCGTCTTTGAGGGGTGTTCTCCCTCCCCCCTCTTGCCATCTGTTGCCTCTACTGCTGCGGCCGACCTCGTTGGTTTCGAGTCGGTCGCTGCGTCTGCCCCGAGCAGGAGACGCCGCACCGGCAAGGGCAAGGGGGGCAAGGGCACTGGAGGAGGTGGAGAAGGCGGTGGAGGTGGTGGTGGAGGCGGTGGAGGGAGTGGGGGTGGTGGTGGGAGTGGTTCTGGGGGTGGCGGCGGCGGCGGCGGGAGTGGAGGCGGCGGAGGCGGTGGAGGTGGCGGAGGGAGCGGAGGCGGCGGAGGTAGTGGAGGAGGCGGAGGTGGAGGAGGCGGCGGCGGCGGAGGCGGCGGTGGTGGAGCAAGTTGCGACTCTGCGTCGAGGAGTGGCGCCGGTGGTGGTCAGCGCCAGCAGCAGCAGCGGAGTGGTGTGACCCTGTCCCCTCAGCAGCTTCGTGAGTGGTACACTGCACGCCAGCGCAGTGGGGGTTTTGGTCCCTGCTCTTACGTTCTCCGTACCGGCGACCCCACTGGTGAGCAGTGCGGGGGTTCGCACTCCACCCAGTGCTTCTTTGGTCGCCTGACGGACGCGTGGCGTCGCCAGTTCCCTGAGGCGTCAGAGATCCCTCGCTGGGGAGATCTGGCTAAGGCCGGGGTTGCTATCTTTGATTTGACTTTGATGCTATTCTTGCTGCCATATATGCTGTTGCTGATAGTTTTGAGGGTGTGTGTTACCTGTGTGTACCGCCAGACCTGGGCATTGAGGCTGCTGCGCTAGGTGCTGGTGAGGCTGCTGCTCTAGGTGCTAGTGCGTCTGCTGCCCCAGGTGCCAGTGCGTCTGCCGCCCCAGGTGCTGGTGAGTCAGCTCTCTCAGGTACTACGTCGGCTCAGGCCTTCCACACCTTCACCCTGGACTCGGGTGCGTCCCGCTCCTTCTTTCGAGACCGCACCACTCTTACGCCGCTTAGTCGGCCGGTTGTAGTCTCCCTAGCAGACCCCTCTGGGGGTCCTTACCTTGCTAGCTTCTCCACTGTCCTTCCGTGCCCTGCAGCCCCCTCTGGTACCCTGTCTAGTCTCTACCTCCCCTCGTTCTCTACGAACTTGGTGAGTGGAGCGGACCTACAGGATCGAGGGGTTGACGAGTTCACTCCTGGGAGTCAGCGAGTGATCCACTACAAGTGTGCTCGGACAGGCCGACACTTGGCCACGTTCACCCGTCGACCAGGGTCGAGCCTGTACACCCTTACTGCTGAGTCTCCTCCTACTGCTGCGTCGATTCAGGTGTTTGGTGCCGCGTCCAGGTCTGGTCCTGAGTCTGCCCCCTGCTCGTGTCGTCTGCTGTCCCACTTGACTCTCCTTTGGCACCACCGCCTTGGTCAACCCTCCTTGCCTCGTCTCCAAGGCATGGTCTCCCGTGTCCTTGTCTCTAGTCTTCCTCGGTCTCTCCCTCCCCTTCCTCTGGGGCCTGGCCCTACCTACGTCCCCTGCGTCGAGGGGTGACAGCCCGCCGCCCCTCACTCCTCCTAGTTTCCTCCGACAGAGGCTCCAGTGCAGACTCTTCACATGGACGTGTGGGGCCCAGCCCGCGTCAGTGGGCAGAGGAGAGAGCGGTACTTTCTCCTGGTCGTTGACGACTACTCGCGTTACACCATAGTCTTCCCCTTGCGCAGCAAGGGTGAAGTCACAGAGGTGTTGGTTGTCTGGATCCGCGCAGCTCGTCTCCAGCTCAAAGAGAGTTTCGGCTTGGACTTTCTTGTTTTGCGTCTGCACTCGGACAGACGAGAGGAGTTTCCTCTGCACGTCTAAGAGCCTTCTATCATGCACAGAGCATCCGTCAGACCTTCACACTTCCGGCCTCTCCACAGCAAAATGGGATTGCTGAGCGCCGCATAGGCATGGTCATGGACGTCGCGCGTACGTCTATGATGCATGCGGCTGCCCCCCATTTTCTGTGGCCGTTTGCGGTTCAGTACGCCGCGCATCAGCTCAACCTTTAGCCCCGGGTCTCCTTGCTAAAGACCTCCCCCGCCTTGCGGTGGACAGGGAAGGTTGGCGATGTGTCTGCGTTTCGTGTCTGGGGATCTCGGGCGTTTGTCTGCGACTTCTCTGCGGACAAGCTGTCCCCCCGTGCTGTTCCTTGCGTCTTCCTTAGCTTCCACCCTGACGTGCCTGGGTGGCAGTTTTACCACCCCACCACGCGTCGTGTTCTGTCCTCCCAGGACGTCACCTTTGACGAGTCGGTGCCTTACTACCGTCTGTTCCCCTACCGCACTGCGCCCCTCCCCCCGCCGCCGCTCTTCCTTGCGCCAGGTGCTACTCAGGTAGACCCCCTCCCTCCTCAGGGTCCTGCCCCTTCATGTGTGTCCCAGGTAGACGCAGTCGAGCCTGTCGAGGTAGCTGTAGACTCTGGTGCTGCTAGAGGTGCTGAGCCTGCAGGTGCCGGGTCTGCCGGTGCCGGGTCTGGGGGTGGTGAGTCTGGGGGTGCTGAGACTGGAGGTGCTGAGCCTGGGGGTGCTGAGTCTGGGGGTGCGGAGCTTGGGGGTGCTGGGTCTGCTCGTGTGGCTGCAGGCGGTACTTCGTCGAAGCGGGAGCCGCTCTCTCCACACGAGTTGCGCGTGTGGTTCGCGCGCCGCTGGAGACGTGCTGCCAAGTCTAGGGGTGTTTGCGCTGGTGTTTCTACTGGTGCTGGTGCGTCTGGGGGTGCTGCTGAGGGAGCTGGTGCTAAGAGTCCTATTGGAGTTGGTGCTACTGGAGGTGGAGCTCCTAGGGGTGTTGGCGCTGGTGTTCCTACATGTGTTGGTGCGTCTAGGGGTGCTGCTGAGGCAGCTGGTGCTCACGGTCCTACTGGAGTTGGTGCTGCTGGAGCTGGAGCTGCTAGGGGTGTTGGCGCTGGTGTTTCTACTGGTGCTGACGGTCCTACCGGAGTTGGAGCTGCTGGAGCTGGAGCTGCTGGGGGTGTTGGCGCTGGCGGTGCTGCTGACGCTGGTACTTCTGAGGGTACTGGAGTTGACGCTATTGGAGCTGGAGGTTCTGCTAGCGCTGGTGCTGCCGCTGGGGCTCCTGGTGTTGCTGGTTCTAGAGGCGCTGCGCGGCCGAGACCGTAGTTCATTCTGCTTATGGAGCAGGTTCTTGCCCTCCCGCCCTCTACTGGTCCTGTTCCTTCCCTAGAGTGTCCACCGCCTGTCCAGTCGCAATCACAATTACCGCCCGCCTCCCCTCTACCTTCTCCTCCCTACACAGGTCCTACTGGAGGTCTTCCTGAGCGTCGTGAGCCTGCGTCTTGTCCCGCGTCACCTGTTCGTGCTGCTCGCACTAGTGGTCGTACTCCGCGTCCGCGTCCTGCGGTCCCCGGCACACACCAGATGGCACTGCGTCCTTCCACTGCTCCTCTGCGTGTCCCGTTGCCGTCTCCTCCAGAGTCCTCTCTTCCTTCTCTTGCTGACCCGGAGTCAGACTCCCTTCGTGCTGCTAGTCCTTCGTTCACGCGCCTTCTTGCTACTGTCGTCACTGACCCTTCCTTTGAGTCTGCTGCTGCGTCTGCTCTCGTTGGTGAGCCTGTCGACTTTGCTGCTCGCTGTCGTCTAGACTACGCTACCAGTCTTGTTGCTGAGTCTGAGTCTGTCTGTCCTCACTCCGTCGGGGGTGAGTGTGCTCTTAGCACGGACGTCTTTGAGGATAGGCAGGAGGAGTTCCAGTGCTTTGCGGCTGCTTTGCCCCATCTCGTGTCCACGTTGATTGCCCCTAAGGGAGACCCGGATGCACCAGAGATCCCGACTCCTCGATCGTACGCTGAGGCGATCGAGGGTCCCAACTCCTCTAAGTGGCAGTCGGCCATGGATGTAGAGATGGCTTCCTGAAAGTCCACAGGCACCTACCTCGACGAGGTTCCCCCACCTGGGGCGAACATTGTCAGTGGGATGTGGATCTTCAGGGTGAAGCGGCCGCCGGGCTCTACGCATGTCTTCAAGGCGCGTTACGTGGCTCGAGGCTTCAGTCAGCGGCAAGGAGTTGACTACTTTCAGACCTTCTCTTCCACCCCGAAGATGACCACTCTTTGGGTGCTGCTGCACATAGCCGCTCAGCGTGACTACGAGCTTCACTCTCTTGACTTCAGCACTGCTTTCCTGCAGGGCAGCCTGCACGAGGAGATCTGGCTGCGCCGACCTCCTGGCTTCACTGGGTCGTTTCCTCCTGGCACCCAGTGGAGCCTCCGGCGGCCAGTCTACGGTCTCCGCCAGGCGCCCCGTGAGTGGCACGACACACTGAGGACTACACTTGCGGCTCTTGGGTTTGCTCCCTCTACAGCCGACTCGTCGCTGTTTCTACGCACGGACACCTCTTTGCCGCCGTTCTACATCGTCGTGTACGTCGACGACCTGGTCTTTGTCACTGCTTACACTGCTGGACTCGCCCACGCGAAGTCCGAGCTGCAAAAGAGACACACATGCACAGACTTGGGTGTACTGTGCAGCTACCTTGGCTTGTAGATCACCCGGGACAGAGCACAGCGCACCATTACCCTGACTCAGTCACACATGGTGGAGCAGGTCCTTCAGCGCTTCGGCTTCACGTACTCCTCGCCTCAGGCCACTCCTCTGTCTACTCGCCACTCGCTCTCAGCTCTGCCTTCGGATGAGTCCGTAGAGTCGAGTGGCCCGTACCCAGAGCTTGTTGGCTGCCTCATGTACCTGATGACCTGCACTCGACCTGACCTTGCATACCCTCTTAGCATCTTGGCACGCTTTGTTGCTCCTGGGAGACATCGACCAGAGCATATGGCTGCAGCGAAGAGGGTTTTGCGCTACGTGTGCAGTACGTCGGGCATGGGGCTAGTGCTTGGAGGGCGACGTCGAGTAGTCCTCACAGATCATGCAGACGCTTCTTGGGCAGACGACCAGGCTACGCAGCGGTCGTCACAGGGTTACACCTTCAGCCTTGGCTCCGGCTCTGTCTCGTGGCGGTTTACCCGCTCGTCCTCTGTTCTCGGCTTGAGCTGTGAGGCTGAGATCTACGTAGGGGCCATGGCTGTACAGGAGCTATGCTGGCTCACCTACCTGCTGACTGACCTAGGAGAGCCGCCTCGTTCTCCTCTAGTGTTGTACGTAGACAACAAGGCCATGCTGGCCTTGTGTCGGGAGCACAGACTGGAGCACAGAATGAAGCACATTGCTCTCCGCTACGTCCTGTCTCGTGAGCTGCAGCAGCGTGGTCAGCTCCACCTCACCTACGTGGCCTCTGAGGCCAACACTGCTGATATCTTCATCAAGACCCTTCCGCCTTGTGATCATCAGCGCTTCTGTACTATGCTAGGTCTTGTGTCTACCTGGCCTCACTTGCTCACTTCTTGATCTTGTTTGTTCTGTCTTCTTTCTATACCTGCCCTTGCTTGTTTTACCTTTATATATATGACCTTGCATGTGAACAAGCCTTGTGGCCTTACTCTTATGCTTGGATTGTGTGGTGACTTTTTGATACATCCTGAGCTTGCTTTGCTTTGCTTGACTGGTCTTGTGACCACTTGTTCTCCTCCACTTTGCCTATGAGGGTGTGTCCGAACATTATAGCTTATACATTTGTGTAGGCTGTAGTGGGGTAGACCATAAGGGGTACAACAAAATCAGGGTTAGTTCTTGTACCCAACTGTTTCATAGTTCATTCATTCCATTCTCACTTCTCGTCATGCTGCGCGCCTTGCCCTACTCGCGCGCTGCTCGCCGCCGCGCATCCTACCTTGCACGCGTGCCGCCGCGCCACGCGCCCTGCCCGTGCGCTGCTCACCGCCGCGCGCACCGCTCTGCCTGCGCGCCGCTCTCTGCACGCTGCGCGCCCTGCCCGCGCGCTGCTTGCCGCCGCGCCGCGCTGCTCTTCCCGCGCGCTGATCGCCGCCGCGCGCGCCGCTTTACTCGCGCGCCGCTCGTCGCCGCGCGCCTTGCCCTTCCCGCGCGCCTCTTGCCACCGCGTGCCCTGCCTTGCCAACGCGCCGCTCACTGCCGTGTGCCCTGCCTTGCCCGCGATCCGCCCGCCGTTGAGCGCCCTACCCTGCCCGTGCGTCTCCTGCCGCCGCGTGCCTTGCCCTGCCCGCGCGCCGCCAGCAGCCACACGCCCTGCCTTGCCCATGCGTCGCTAGCAGCTGCGCTACCCTGTGTGTGAGCCGCCTTGCCGGCTGCCGTCCTGCCTTGCTGCTTGCGTGCTGTCCTGCTACTACCGCACTCGCCTGCCCTGGCAGCTATGGAAACTCTCAGCGTCCTCACCTTCGATCCGGAGGGCCGCCCGAGAGAGTTCCAGTCTTGGCTCGATGACTTACAGCTGTTCTTACTGAGCGACTTTAAGGACGGTATTTCGCAGTTTGACCTGACGTCTAGAGACTCTCCTGCCCCTCACGACACAGCTGACAGTACGACTTGCTCACAGTGGCTTACCCGTGACGCTACTGCTCGCCTAGCCGTTCGCAATCACCTGCCGTTAGCCGAACGTGCTCACTTTGGCCAGTACATGACTGCTAAAGCCCTATATGATGATGTAGTCGCTCGTTACTCCTCCCCGGCCACTGCTACTCTAGGCCACCTTCTACTGCCCTACCTGTTGCGAGAGATGTCCGCCTTTGCCACAGTCGCCGACCTCGTCACTCACCTACGCACTATTGACATCTGCTACCGAGCCGCAATTCCTGCCGAGTTCCTCAACAAGAACCCTCCTCCCTTGCACATCACTCTTTACTTCATAGTCACCTGCCTCCCTGACTCTCTTAGCGGTGCCAGGGACCTCCTTCTTGCCCTTGACCCCACAGACCTCACTATCGTCCTCCTCGAGAAGCACCTCTTTGCAGCTGAGACTAGCATAGTCGTTGTAGGTGCTTCCCGTGGCACTCTTTTCTTTGAGGGGTGCGCAGCCTCCCACCTTCTCCCCTCCATCGCCTCTGCTGCAGCTGTTGACTACATTCGTGCTGAGGAGGTGGGAGCTGCGTTTGTCCCTAGAGGGAGGCGCCGCAGCAGCAGGGGCAGGGGAGGCAGGGGCGGTGGGGGTGGCAGAAGTGGAGGCGGCGGTGGAGGGGGCGGCGGTGGCGGAGAGTGTGGAGGTGGTGTTAAAGTGAGTCTTAGAAGAGCCATGGTGGCCGATAGGTGAGTTAGGTGAGAACGAACAGCTGCACTAGAGAAAGTGTCGAGAGACATTTGTAAAATAGGGTTGGGAAACCCCAACTGAACCTAGGGCGTGTTCAATGCAGAGATCAACTACGAAGTGAACCTAAGATGAACCAAAAGTGAAACTAAGTCTAAAAGTGACCGAAAAATAATATAAGGCAAAAAAGAAACGCGGAGCGAACACTAGCCCATTCCAATACACCCCCAGGCTATGTGAAGCTCTGAAACAGAACACCTAGCGAACCGGAACACCCCCAGAAGTGACAAGACGAGAGAGATCAATCGCGCGGACATAGAAACGGTGCGGCGTACGTAGAAGGGCCTTGGTAAAGATGTCAGCAAGGTTGGCGTCGGCGGCCACCTTGCGAAGGCAGAGGAAACCAGACTGTACCAGCTCGCGCACAAAGTAGTAGCGGACCTCTATGTGCTTGGTGCGCGCATGATAAATAGGATTTTCAGTGAGATGAATCATGCTCGCACTGTCGCAGAAAGGGTCATAGACTGCTGAGAGTGACCAAGCTCAGCAAGAAGAAAGGAGAGCCAGCGAGCCTCCTGAGCCGCCAATGTGCCTGCGTACAACACAACTTCACAGGTGGAAAGACAGATAGAGGATGAGCGAGTGGAGCGCCAGCTGATGAGACCACTACCAAGAGTAAAACCATAACCCTGAAAGGAGCGGCGATCAGGGCGAGAATTAGCGTAGGAAGATTCACTGTATTCGGAAAGAACGGGGGGAGAAGAGCCGCCAAGAGTAAGTGCAAGATCAGAGGTAGAGCGAAGATAGCGAAGAGCGCGCTTGGCAGCCGCTCAATGCATGTCAGTGTGGCGACCAAGGCCAACAAAACGAGAGAGGACACTGAAGGGATAAGCAAGACCGGGGCGAATGTACATCATACCATACATGAGTGATCCAACGAGCTCTGGATAGGGGCGCAATTTTGAGGAGGGAGCAGGGACAACAGGGGCTGATGGTTAAACGGAAGGGGGGTGGAGACCGGTTTGGCCTGCGACATTTCGAACTGCTGGAGGATGGAGTGGATGTAGAACGATTGAGAGGGAGAGAGAGAGAGAGAGAGAGAGAGAGAGAGAGAGAGAGAGAGAGAGAGAGAGAGAGAGAGAGAGAGAGAGAGAGAGAGAGATGGTGCGGGCAGCACGATCGCGACGAATCTCCATGCCAAGATAGTGACGAAGCTCGCCGAGATCCTTGCATAGAAGACGCGCCTACAGGGCCTTTTTTACAACAGTCAAATCGGCAGAATCCTCAGCAAGCAGCACCAAGTCGTCCACATAAGCAGGAATGTAAAGCCTGTAAGGGGAAGTGCGAATGAAAAGACCGGGGTCGGAGGTAGCGGTAAAGAAACCAAGAGAGTGAAAAGAGGAGGCGAGCTTGGCATGCCACTCGCGGGGAGCCTGCTTGAGGCCATACACAGGGCGCTTCAGCTCCCAAACAGTGCCTGGAGGAAAGGGGCAAGGAAAGCCGGGGGGCGCTCAAGGAAAATGCGCTCATGAAGCTCGCCCTGAAGGAAAGCATTGGAGACATCCATAGAATGGATCTCCCAATCCCAGCGAGCACCTAGGTCAAAAATGAGGCGAAGGGTGGGGAGACGAGCAGTGGGAGAGTAAGTGGCAAAGTAGTCAATGCCTTCACGCTGAGTAAAGCCTTTGGCGCAATACCGGGCTTTGAAGAGAGGAAGCTCCCTAGGCAACTGCTTGACACAAAAGACCCATTTGCTCTTGACAATGGTGGCGCCAAGGGGGGGGGGACAGAGTCAACATGGGAATTGGTACGAGTGAACGCCTCACACTCAGCAATGATGGCAGCCATTCAGCGAAGGGACGCGGATCAAAGTCAGACCAATGGAGAGAAGGAGTAGGAGGGGTGGGAAGGGGAGTGAGGAATGGAGAGCGAATCTCGTCAAAGATGACATCCTGGCTGCCAATGAACTGCTGAGAGGAGGGAGCATAGAAAAGGTAGCCAGGATATACAGAGTTGATGCAAATGAATGCACAGACATGCGTCTTAGGAGCAAGTTTCCCACCCTGACGTGCCCGATCAGCTGGATTGACGAGGACATGAGCGACACAGCCCCACACCCAAAGAGGGCGAGCAGAGGGCTGGCGGCCCGACCAGAGCTGAAAGGGGGTAATGGTGGGGCGAAGGGGATGAGGGCGAAGGTTGGAAAGAAGAGTTGCGTGAACAAGAGCATAGCTCCAAGAGAGTGGGGAGCGGAGGCATGGGTGAGGAGACATCGAGTGAACTCTATGAGAGTGCGATTGCAACGCTCGGCAACACTATTCTGTTTAGGAAAGTGCGGGAGGGTCGAGGTTTGGCGAATGCTGTGAGAGGAGCAGTAAGAGGAGAGAGAATGATTAAAGAACTCGCCACCACCTTCGGAGAGGAAACGCGCGACAGGACGCCCGAAGCGAAGACGAGCCTGTTCAGCCCAACGAATGATGAGGGAAGGGGCGTCATATTTGGCGCGAAGGGGATAGACAGTGGCAAAGCGAGAATGATCATCAACGAGAAGGAGAAAGTAACGATGGCCTTGTCGGGAGGCAGTTGGGAAGGACCCCAAAGGTCCATATGCACGAGATTAAGAGGCTGGGGGGAGGCAGAAGGGGAAGAAAGATGAGGAGACTGAGAGAGCTTGGCTTGAACACAAGGAGTGCATAGAGGGGCGGGAGAGGGAGGAAGGGGCAGGAGAGAGGAGGGAAGGTCATGAAGCAGCTTCGAATGGACCATGATGCGAAGGAGAGGGAAATTTGGGTGTCCGAGATGATGATGGAGAAGAAGGGTAGGTTGGGTGAGAGATCGACAGTCGCAAGAGGAAATGGGTGGAGCGGAAGCAGGGGAAGTGTGATGCACAGACGAGGGGAGAGAAACACGGAGGGTATAGAGACGAGAGGCACGGGAAAGGGTGAAACGAGCGAGATGCCGGTCCTGGTAATGAAGATCACAGTAGAGTTCACCTGCGGGGAAACTCGCTCGCACACCAAGGGATTGGAGGGCGGAGAGGGAGAGAAGGTTATGACGACAAGAGGGAACATAGAGGCCAGTGATTCCGCCAGAGGGGGAGGCAGGACAGGGAAGAGAGGAGGTGGCGGTGCATGTCAGGGTCATGGTCTCCCCAGCTCCACGAATAAAGAGCGGGCGGGGAAAGGAACGAAGAACATTGGCATCACGAAAAACAGAATCAGTAGCACCACTGTCGAGGACCAAGTCCAAGGTGCGAGGGAGAGAGAGAGCAGCAATCGTAGAGCACGGAGAGGGAGAAACAACGCTAGGAGCAGAAGGAAGAAACGACACAGCAAAGCGAGGGTCCATGAGAGGAGAAGCACCAAAAATGCTAGCATAAGAAGGCATGGTTACACTGAGAGCAGAGGGAAAAGCATCAGCACCAGGAGTCGCGACAGAAAGCGATGACGGGGCAGAGGACTGGTGGCACTGGTGAGACTGTAGAAACGAGACAGGAGGAGAGGCCCAGCGGGAGAAGGGAGAGGCGGTCCAAATGGGAGAGAGGGGAGCGGAGGACGCGTAGGGTAGGGGAAGGAGGGGTAAGGGATGAGGGACAGCAGCAGGAGGGAGAGGACAGTAGCGGCGATGAAGAGAGGGAGTCGTAAGAATGGGCGCCATAGGAGGGGAGGAGATAGAAGCAGAGCAGCGGAGGGGAGAAATGAGAGGTGGAGGAATATGGGCGGAGTAGTCGGCTACTCAGCAGCTGAGGGGAGAAAAAAGAGGCGGAGGAATATAGGTGGAGTAGTCTACTGCTGAGCAGCTGAAGGGAGAAATAAGAGGCGGAGGAATATGGGCGGAGTAGTCTGCTGCTGAGTAGCTCAGGGGAGAAATAAGAGGCAGAGGAATATGGGCGGATTAGTCTGCTGTTGCGCCGCTGAGGGGAGAAATAAGAGGCGGAGGAATATGGGCGGAGTAGTCTGCTGCAACACCGCTAAGGGGAGAAATAAGAGGCGGAGGAATATGGGCGGAGTAGTCTGCTGCTGCGCGCTGAAGGGAGAAATAAGAGGCGGAGGGACAATGGCGGAGGAGTCTGCTGCTGCGCCGCTGAGGGGAGAAAGAAGAGGCGGAGGGAAAGTGGGAGAACGAGCACGACCACGGGGTAAGATCAGCAACCAGCTGTGGCAGATGGGGAGAGGAGAGAGGCGGAGGAGAGAGAGAGGTGAGGAGGGGAAAGGAGGGAGAGAGGAGAGGAAGAGGAGGGTGAAGGGGCGGATTAGGTAGAGAGGGGTCTTGATAGAGGGGAGAAGCAGTTAAGGCAGCGGCCAAGGGGTGGCTCGGGTGCGTAGGAGGGCAGGGCAGCGGGAGTACGAGCAGTAACACTTGGACAGGGCAGAAGGGCAGCGCGCAGGGCAGTACGCTACAGGGCGGCGCGCGACAGGGCGGGCTGCAGCACGACTCAGTGCAAGCAGTAGCGCGGGCGGCAATAAGGGCAGCGGCATGCGCCAAGATCGAGCGCACGGCAGGCAGTGCGCAGGCGCGTCGCACAGCCGATAAGGAGCACAGGAGGGCAGCGCGCGAGCAGCGCGTCAGGGCGGCGTGTAGGTGCAGCGCGGCGAGCTGCGAACGACGCAGCGCCAGTCGTACTAGGCAGGGGGATCGCGCGGCGCGCAGGGCAGAGGCGGGCGCGTCGCGCTAGGCAGAAGCGCACGCAAAGTGCGGGGCAGCAGGGGCGCTTGGGGCAGCGCGCAAGGCAGCGCGCGAGGTAACGGAGGCGCGAGACAGCAGGGCAAGTGCGGGGCACAGCGATCATGGTGGGAGTCTACGAGCTGGGCGCGACTATTAAGGGTAGATCCGCGGGGTGATGAGTAAATTGCTAATGCTAGAACTTAGAAAGGAAATCGCATAGCTATAGATGGCGTGGAAATGGCCGATAGCCTAAAGATTACTAGGAGATGTGAAGACTAGGGAGACGCCTAGGACATCGCTCTAGATACCATGTTTGAGTCTTAGAAGAGCCATGGCGGCCGAAAGGTGAGTTAGGTGAGAATGAATAGTTGCACTAGAGAAAGTGTCGAGAGACATTTGTAAGATAGGGTTGGGAAACACCAACTGAACCTAGGGCGTGTTCAATGCAGAGACCAACTACAAAGTGAACCTAAGATGAACCAAAAGTGAAACTAAGTCTAAAAGTGGCCGAAAAATAATATAAGGCCAAAAAGAAACGCAGAGCGAACACTAGCCCACTCCAACAGGTGGGGGTGGAGGTGCAGGTGGCGGCGGTGGTGGCGGCGGTGGGGGTGGTGGCGGCGGCAGTGGTGGACGCAGTGGGGGTGGAGGCGGCGGCAGTGGTGGCGGCCGGGGTGGTACCAGCGAGAGGGGATGCCTTGGGAGTGGTCAGAGGCAGCAGCAGCAACGTCAGCGTGAGGCCCCTTCGCCTCAGGAGCCACGTGAGTTGTTTGCTCAGCGTGGGGCGGATGGGGGTAGTGGTCCTTGCCCGTATGTCATTTGCACAGGTGACCGCCCTGGTCAGACATGCGGGAAGCTTCACACCCAGTACCGGTGCTTCTCTCGTCGTACGGACGCATTCCGTGCAGAGTTTCCCGACGCGGCTGAGCTCCCCCGCTGGGCAGAGTTGCTTAGGCAGGGTGTGGATATCTTTACTGTTGATTATGATGCTATCCTTGTTGCCATGTATGCATTGACTGTTAGTGTTGAGGGTGACTGTTACCTGTGTATGCTGCCAGACCGAGATATAGAGGCTACTGCTCTAGGTGCTAGTGAGTCCGCTGCTCTAGGTACTGGTGAAACTACTCACTCAGGTACCGCGTCTGCTGCGGCCTTGCATACATTCATGCTTGACTCACGTGCTTCACGCTGTTTCTTTCGCGACAGTACCACAGTCACACCGCTCTCAGCACCTGTTGCTGTCTCTCTGGCTGACCCCTCTGGGGGCCCAGTCCATGCACGTTCCTCCACTGTTCCGTCTGGCTCACTATCAGGTCTCCACCTCCCCTTGTTCTCTATGAACTTGGTGAGCAACGCCATCCTTTAGGATGCGTGGGTTGATACCTTCACCCCTGGAGGACAGCGTGTGGCGATCTGTACGTGCTCCCGGATTGGTAGGCACCTGGCCACGTTCACCCGTCGGCCTGGGTCGAGTCTGTACACAGTACGCCTCCTCAGGTAGCTGCGTCTCGGTCTGCGTCAGGTCAGCTTGCGGCCCCCTGCTCGTGTTGCACCATACGCTCCTTTGGCACCACCGCCTTGGTCACCCCTCCGTGGCACGCACTCCCGTCTCCTTGTCTCTGGTCTTCCTAGCTCTCTGCCTCCCCTCCCACCCTCGCCTGCCCCTCCCTAACTTCCCTGTGTCGAGGGACGGCAGCACTCCGTTCCTCACTCCTCCTCGTTCCCACCAACGACTGCTCCCCTGCAGACTCTCCACATGGACGTGTGGGGCCCAGCCCGCGTCCGTGGACAGGGCCGCCATGCTTGTCGACGACTACTCGCGTTACACCACGGTCTTCCCCTTGCGCAGCAAGGAGGAGGTCCCTGATGTTTTGATCCCTTGGATCCGCGCTGTTCGTCTCTAGCTCCGCGAGCGGTTCGAGATGGACCTTCCCGTAATGCGTTTGCACTCTGACAAAGGTGGTGAGTTTTCCTCGGACCTCTTGCAGGACTTTTTTCGTGGGGAGGCCATTCGCCAGACGTTCACATTTCCGGCCTCTCCACAGCAGAATGGGGTTGCTGAGCGCCGCATTGGCCTAGTCATGGAGGTCGCTCGTACCTCCATGATCCATACGGCTAGGCCCCATTTCCTGTGGCCACTTGTTGTCCGATACGCTGCACATCAGCTCAACCTCTGGCTCCGTGTCTCCTTGCCGGAGACCTCGCAGACACTGCTTTGGACGAGAGAGGTTGGCAATGCGTCGGTGTACCGGGTCTGGGGATCTATTGCCTTTGTCCGCGATACCACTGTGGACAAGCTCTCCTCCCGCGCCATTCCCAGTGTCTTTCTTGGCTTCCCCCCTGACTTGCCTGGTTGGCAGTTTTACCACCCCACCTCGTGCCGTCTCCTGCCTTCTCAGGACGTTACGTTTGACAAGTCGGTTCCCTTTTACCGTCTCTTCCCCTACCGCACTGCCCCTCTTCCCCCCCCCCCGCCGCTCTTCCTCGCACCAGATCCTCCGAGAGACCCCCTCCCTCCTCCGGGTCCTGCTCCCTCAGATGAGTCCCAGGTAGACCCTATCAAGCATGTCGAGGTAGCTGTCGACTCTGGCGCTGCTAGGGGTGCTGCGTTTGGGGGTGCTGAGCCTGCGGGTGCGAGGCCTAGGGGTGCTGAGCCTAAGCGAGCGGAGGCTGGGGGTGCTGAGACTGGGGGTGCTGAGCCTGAGCGTGCGGAGCCTGGGGGTGCTGAGCCTAGGGTTGCTGAGTCTGAGGGTGCAGAGCCTAAGGGTGCTGAGCCTGGGGGTGCTGAACCGGAGCGTGCTGAGCCGGGAGGTACTTTGTCTGCTGGAGGTCCCACGGGTGTCTCGTCACGGCGGGAGCCTCTCTCTCCACCCCAGCTGCGCGAGTGGTTTGCTCGGCGCAGGAGCCTCCGGAGTGGAGCTGCTGGAGCTGGAGGCGCTGGAGCTGCTAGAGCTGGTGGTGCTGCAGCAGCTGGAGGTGGAGCTGCTGGAGGTGCTGGAGCCACTGGTCCCAGAGGTGCTCGTAATGGAGGTACTGGAGCTGCTGGAGGTGGAGGTGCTACAAGAGCTGGAGGTGCTGGAGCTGGAGCTGGAGGTGCCACTGGAGGTACTGGAGCTGCTGGAGCTGGAGGTGCTGCAAAAGCCGGTGGTACTGTAGACTTTGGAGCAGGAGTCCCTAGAGCTGGAGGTGCTGGCCCTGAGGGTGCTGGTGCCGTCTGTGCTGGTTTTTGCGACCGCGACCGTACTTTGTTCTGCTGCTTCACCAAGTTCTTGGTCTCCCGCCTTCTACTGGCCTTACTCTTCCTTTACTATGTCCACCGCCTGACCGATCCCAGCCACAGTTACAGCCAGCCTCCCCACTGCCGGCCCCTTCTCCTTACACTTAACTGCCCGGAGGTCTTACAGAGCGTCGTGAGCCTGCGTCCCGCCCTTCGTAGCCAGTTCGCGCTGTCCGCACTGGTCGTCGTATTCCACGTGGGCGTCCTCCTCCTGTCCCAGGCACGCACCAGATGGCAATTCGTCCTTCCTCTGTTCCACGCGTGTCCCTCAACCTTCTCCTCCTGCGTCCTCCCTTGCTGACGGTCCAGACCTGGGGTCTAACTCACTTCGTGCTGCCAGCCCTACTGTCACGCATCTCCTAGCCACTGTTGTCACTGACCCTTCATTTGAGTCCACTACTGCGTCTACCCTTGTTGGTGAGCTTGTTAACTTTGCTGCCGCCTGTCGCCTAGACTTCGCCGCTAGTCTTGTTGCTGAGTCTGAGTCTGTCTGTCCTCCGTCCGTCGAGGGTGAGTGTGCTCTTGGCACTGACGTCCTTGAGGAAAGGCAGGAGGACTTTGAGTGTTTTGCAGCTGCTGTACCTCATCTCGTGTCCATGCTAATTGCACCTGAAGGAGACCCGAATGCACCAGACATCCCGACCCCGCCCTCTTATGCAGAGGCGATAGAGGGTTCCTACTCCTCTCAGTGGCAGTCAGCCATGAACGCAGAGATGGTATCCTGGAAGTCCACAGGCACTTACTTTGATGACGTTCCCCCACCTTGGGCGAACATCGTCCGTGGCATGTGGATTTTCAGGGTGAAGAGACCGCCGGGTTCTCCGCCTGTCTTCAAGGCGCGTTACGTTGCACGAGGCTTCAGTCAGCGACATGTTGTTTACTTCTTCCACAACTTCTCCCCTACCCCGAAGATGACCACTCTTCGGGTGCTGCTGTAAGTCGCAGCTTAGCGTGACTACGAGCTTGATTCTCTTGATTTCAGCACAGCTTTATTACAGGGCAGCCTGCATGAGGAGATCTGGCTGCGCCGCCCATCTGGCTTCACAGGGTCGTTTCCTGTAGGTACCCAATGGAGCCTCTGGCGGCCAGTCTACGGTCTCCGCCAGGCGCCTCGCGAGTGGCATGACACACTGAGGACGACACTTGCGGCTCTTGGGTTTGCTTCTTCGACTCCTGACCCGTCGCTCTTTCTGCGCACCGACACTTCGCTGCCGCCATTCTACATCCTCATATACGTCGACGACTCGGTCTTTGCCACTGCTGACACAGAAAGACTCGCCCACGTGAAGTGGGAGCTGCAGAAGAGACACACGTGGACAGACCTGGGAGAGCTGCGCAGCTATCTTTGCTTGCACATCACACGGGACTGAGCACGACGTACCATTACCCTGACTCAGTCACACTTGGTGCAGCAGGTCCTTCAGCGCTTCCGCTTCATGTACTCCTCCCCACATTCCACTCCTCTGTCTACCGGTCTCTCGCTTTCAGCTCTGCCTTTGGATGAGCCAGTAGAGCCAAGTGGCCTGTATCCAGAGCTTGTCGGCTGCTTCATGTGCCTGATGACTTGCACTTGACCCGACCTTGCTTACCCTCTTAGCATCCTGGCATGCTATATTGCGCCCAAGAGACACCAAGAAGATCACTTGGAGGCCACTAAGAGGGTGTTGCGCTACTTGTGCAGTACGTCGGGCATGGGGCTCGTGCTTGGAGGTCGGGCTCGAGTTGTCCTCACTGGTCACGCAGACACTTCTTGGGTTGACAACTTGGCTATACAGCGCTCGTCACAGGGTTACACTTTCAGCCTTGGCTCCAGCTCTGTTTCTTGGCGGTCTACCCGCTCGTCTTCTGTTCTCAGCTCGAGTTGTGAGGCTGAGATCTACGAAGGGGCCATGGCTACCCAAGAGTTACGCTGGCTCACCTACCTGCTGACCGACTTGGGCGAGGCACCTAGTTTTCCTCTTGTTCTGTACGTCGACAACAAGGCCATGATTGTCTTGTGTTAGGAGCACAGACTCGAGCACAGGATGAAGCACATCGCGCTGCGTTACTTCCTTGCTTGAATGTTGCTGTAGCGTGGACAGCTTCGTCTTGCTTACGTGGCCTCTCGGGCCAACACTGCTGATATCTTCACCAAGGCACTTCAGCCTTGTGATCATCAGCGTTTTCATACTTTTCTAGGCCTTGTGCCTACTTGCCCTCACTATCTCACTTCTTGACTTTGCTTGTTCGGTTATCTATATACTTAAACGTGCATGCTTACTCTTGCTAGGTTTTGATCACTGTATTGCTTGTTCTGCTTTACATAACTCGATATGTGAACTGGCCTTGTGGCCATTTTCTTGTGCTCAGAGTGTGTGGTGACTTTGTGATCCACTCTCAGCTTGCTTTGCTTTTCTTGACCGGTATTGTGACCTCTTGTTCTCCCCCACTTTACCTATGGGGGTGTGTCAAACTATATATGCTGCATGTTGTGTAGGCTGTAGTGGGGTAGCTCATATGGGGTACAACCGAATTAGGGTTTACTACATGTACTCATGCATGTTGCTAGTTCACACATTCCTCGTTTATTCTCCTGGCATGAAGCTCCCCCTTTTTTGTGGGTTTTTGACTCCCCAACAATATCGCAAAACCGCCGTTCACCCAACGCCCGCTTTTGTCGGATGAGGTATTGTCGTTGTTGCCCGTGAGAACCCGACTACGAAGGAGGGGCAAAAACTATTGGAGTCGAGGTAGCCTATCGCCCAACCGTTTTGCAGCCCGCCGTGCCTATCACGACACGAAAACTCCACAGCTTCCGGGTCTCAGCTTCGTTGCTGCGCCATCAAGTCGTGTAGACGCAAGGGTCGGGAGAAACCTGTAAATTGCACCAAAGCTTCTTCGCAGCTCCGCGAATTTTTCGCGTGCCGTTCACCCAACCCACTTTTTCGTGAGCTCCCTTTTTTTTGTCTTTTCTGTACAGATCTCGAACGGGCACCAATGTAGGTGCCTTTAACCAGCACAAGGTAGGTGCGTATTCACCCCCGTTATTCGGCCCAATAAGGTCGACTGCATGAGTCGGAACCGGTAATTGGTGAGGATGGTGAGGTTCGCGCGATGTAGGGCCACAGATTGGTTCCACTGGCTTTTAATCTGCTCCCCACAACGTTCTTCAACTCCCGCTTAGCCTTTGGGCAGTTTCTTCCCGAATGTCCTGGCGGCCTATACCGACTCCTCTGTAAATGCTAGGTACTACCTTGAACGTCGTTTGATCGTGGGTCACTTGCTGCTATCCCCGTAAACAAGTTCCAAGGTGAGGCGTTCTCGGAATCGTCGGCCAGCTTGCAACAACACCAAGCACGCAGTGTCAATCAAGTTCTTTCCATGGTGTACCTGTCTCGGTTTCCTTCGTCGCCCGTTCCCCACTTCTCTTAAGTGTGATTTAGCCACCGCGTTTTCCATTGCAGCCCGTAAGTGCCAGCAGGTATGAAGTCTTGTCTGTCCACAAACAGTTCTGCTGAAATTGTTGATTGACGCGCCCCCCAATGCAGTAAAAGCCACTGCACTTCAGGTCGGGCTAAACGGCTGTTGACCCTGCATAAATCGGGCAACTCACGTGGCGTCTCTCCGGACGAAATTACTTTAGTGCTTGGCGAGTCTTTCCAGCTGCCCCTGGTTTTTTTCTTTTGAAGCTCCGCCCATAGCGACGCATGGCTGTTGTCAACAGCTGCCGAGCCACACTCCGAAATTGTCGCACAGTTGTTGACTCATATTCGACGACGTCAGTTGCCACACACGATAACGACTCTGCAAATTTCGTGCAGTTGCCGACGCAGGCCCGCTAACACCAGCTGCCTCACAAAGCTCCGAAATCGTCGGTAAAAATGCAGCGGAATAGTAACTCACGTTGAATGTTGCGACAGCTACAGCTGTCCTTGCCCGGGAGGAGGGAGGTCACGGCCGATCGCGACTGTCGAAGGTAAGGATCCGGCGGTGCCAAGAAGTGCACGATAAATCCATGGACCCCAAGATATCCTTCCTTGTCCCCCCCCCCCCCCCCCCCCAATAATATTACACTTTAAAGAACGGGCTAGGCTAGGAAATTAGCTCTGATACAAGGTGCTATGAACGAACTTGCAAAGTGCGCAGAATATCGAATATCGAGAATGAGAAGAACAGAATGACAATAAAATGGGACGACACCTCCCTTACCCCTCGGACCACACCTCGATTCCCCCTCCCCATCACTCCCCTTCCCCTCTGGCCGCCTCTTCCCCTCCCCCATGCTCTCACCTCCCTTTTGGTTGGGACGACACCTCCCCTCCCCCTCGGACAGCACCTCGATTCCCCCTCCCCATCACTCCCCTTCCCCTCTGGCAGCCTCTTCCCCTCCCCCATGCTCTCACCTCCCTTTCGGTTGGGACGACACCTCCCTTCCCCTTCGGACAGCACCTTGATTCCCCCTCCCCATCACTCCCCTTCCCCTCTGGCTGCCTCGTCCCCTCCCCCATGCTCTCACCTCCCTCTCGGTTGGGACGACACCTCCCTCTATCCTCGGACAGCACCTGGATTCCCCCTCTCCATCACTCCCCTTCCCCTCTAGCCGCCTCTTCCCCTCCCCCATGCTCTCACCTCCCTTTCGGTTGGGACGACACCTCCCTTCCCCCTCGGACCGCACCTCGATTCCCCCTCCATATCACTCCCCTTCCCCTCTGGCCGCCTCTCCCCCTCTCCCATGCTCTCTCCTCCCTCTCGGTTGGGACGACACCTCCCTTCCCCCTTAGACCGCACCTCGATTCCCCCTCCCCATCACTCCCCTTCCCCTCTGGCCGCTTCTTCCCCTCCCCCATGCTCTCACCTCCCTTTCGGTTGGGATGACACCTCCCTTCCCCCTCGGACAGCACCTTGATTCCCCCTCCCCATCACTCCCCTTCCCCTCTGACCGCCTCTTCCCCTCCCCCATGCTCTCACCTCCCTTTCGGTTGGGACGACACCTCCCTTCCCCCTCGGACAGCACCTCGATCCCCCCTTCCCACCTATCCCCTTCCCCTCTGGCCGCCTCTTCCCCTCCTCCATGCACTCTCCTCCCTTTCAGTTGGGACGACACCTCCCTTTGCCCTTAGGACAGCACCTACTCTCCCCCTCCCCATCACTCCGCTTCCCCCCTGCCGCCTCTTACCCTCCCCCGTGCACTCACCTCCTTCTATTCTCACTCTGTCTAGTTTTTCCGACATTCCGCCCATTCCTATACGGTGGGTTGAACACTGTCCTAGGGTTAGTCCAGATGGACTTGAGACCTCCGGTTCACGTCCACTTCTTCTCTCCCGCCAGCCGTATCTTGCTCATCACCCGTTGTTCCGCCAATAGGCTCTTGTCGAAACTGCCTTCTAGCGCCTATTTCCTTTTCTTCTGCCACGCTGTCAAGCGTGCTTTCATGAACACTCTCGCGTGTAAACGGAAGGCGAACAGAATCCTCCTCAGCACTCGGCGCGCTCTGAATTTGCGCCCCCTGAAGACAGCTTCGCACCGCTCCAGCCAGATCTGATGTAGCGTGATTGCAATGAGAGTCGCTTCCGGGAAAGCTGAAACTGTACCAACTTTGCGGAAAAGAAGGTCCTCCAGAGAGTCCATGACCCGTCGTAGGTTCAACATGCGGAGAGCTCGCTTCAGCGCAATAATCACTGTTTGGATCCGCGGGGAGGTGAAAGGGCAATGCTACAGTGTCTCCTCACTGTTGCAGTGTGGGCAAAGGGGTTTGTTGTTGAGGAAGGCGAGCCTCTCCCCCACTTGAAGGTTGAAATTATACACCCGCGTTAGGACGTCTCTTGGTTTGCTGGGAGTGACCAAGGACTCCCGAATGCCCAAAATCTTTTTCCAGTTTATTGAACCGCTCCACCTGCCTACCCAGCGTAGCATCCGATGTGACTGCGCATGCTTCCCCTCCCAATGCTCCCGCATTCTCTTTTGCGAAATCACTCCCCCATTTTCCAGGATTGGGATGCGCGGGAGGACTGCTACTGCTCCCAAAACCCCACCAGCCGGGTTCGTGCAGGGGGTCACGAGAGCCTCCCTCCATTCTCCTGGTGCTGCTGTGAAAGCCTTTAGAACGAGCCTGGCAGGCCCCTTCCCACCGAGCTGCTCTGTGAGCTCCGCCATGGATTTCTGCTCCCAGCTGCCGTCCTGTTTCAACTTCACCAGGTCACCCATCACCCAGTCCCACAGCTGCTCTGCATACTTTTGCCCGCCCACCGGGGCTGTCACTCCCATCATGATGGCGCGGTTGAAGACCAGCTTCTCCTTTGCGACCTCCTCTGGCGTGATCTCCACCGACCAAACACTAAGGGGCGATTCCATGAAAATTTCACATGTCTGCTTCCAGCGCTGGCTTCTCCCTTCCCAGTTGCGCAGGAGGCGATCGTGCGAGGTGAAGGTGTCAAGACCTAACGGAAGATCAGCCGTGCGCACCATCAATTCCCTCTTAAGCTGATCAGCTTCCGTCATCATCAAGCCGACTCTCTTGGTGGCCAGGCACGCGAGTGTTACACTTGGGTCATGGACCCCCAACCCGCCGTCCATCCTCGGGGTGTAGAGCAACTCCTTGCCCCACAGCAGAAAGACCTTTGTGGGCGTTGCTTTGTTGCCCGAGACAAAGTTGTGTATTAACCTTTCCAGCTCCTTCCATACTTTTGAAGGTGGCGGGTAAAATTGCACTTGAAAGGTCATCACGGGCTGAATGTAGTGATTCGCCACCGCCCCTCTCGCCTTCTCCGTGAGAAATTTCTGCTTCCAGCTTATCAAGTGCTTAGTGATCTCCCCCAATGCCTTCTCCCAGATGGGAAGTCCGCTGCCATCTGGTGTTACCCGAACCCCCGGTAGCCTTTCTGCCTCTTGAGGCTTCGCCCACTTGAAGTCTCCACTTTCCAAAGCTCCAAGGTTTAGACCCAGAGGTAGAACCACCGTTTTCGCTTTGTTGGTCGAGAGACCGGATTGCTGCTGAAACTCGTCTAATATTTGTTCCGCCTTGTTGATCTGCTCCCTCCCCTGCAGAGCTAAACTTGTGTCATCTGCATACCCGAGGTATGCCAGGCGCTGTCCGGCGATATCCAAACCCAGCTGACTCCTCTCCACCTTCTGCACCAGAGGCTCCACAGCGCACAGAAAGAGGTATGGTGCTAGTGGGCAGCCTTGACGCACTCCACCACCAACTACTCTCCCTTGCTCTCCAGCCTCTTCACTCCCATCCATCTCATCATTAGCACCTCTGGAGTCCGTCTCAGCCATCACAAGGCCTTAGGCACGGTGGAATCTTGAGAAAAAACGCTTGGACAGGATTCTCCCAGAAATTTCGCTTTTACGAAAAACGCCATCACGGTTAGCACAATTTGAATTATTAATCGAAAGAATGCGAGCATAGCTACAAGAAAATGTTCTCACTCGTAAACATTGGTTGAGAATCGATGACGATTCGTCACTTCAAAGTCGACCACCCGCTCTGATACCACTTGTTGCTTAGGAATCGGTCATTTTGAAGACTTACGACGAACTCAAATCTCAATCTAATGCAAATCCGCTTGGTAGAATTGTGCGCGCTGGTCTTAGCTACCATTGGAAAGTTGAATCACTTGATTTCATTGTCTAGGGAGTGAGAACGAAGTAAGAACGTATAGCTGCTGCTTTCACTAGAAAGGATGGAGGAAGAACAAACACTAGGCATAGAATGAGGTTTTGGGGGGTTTCAAGAGAACCTTGTGAGGGAATGCTCTCCGAATGCTAGAGGAGGATAGTAGGAACCTTCCTAGCATCAAAGATGCAACCCTCATGATGAGGTCCTTGAGGTGTCACATCCAAAATCCAATCCAATTGGATTTTGCCAAGGTGTTGCAACATTTGCAACCCATGCTAGAAACTTCTATCCACCCCAATCCAAAAGTCAAAGTTGCCTTCCCAACCACCCAAACCAAGATCCCTTTATAAGCATGTCTCAATAATCGCCCAATTTAGTTATTATCCCAATAAAGATCGAATTTCCAAATCTTAGAAATCTTGTAACTTGGGCGATCTTGGTCAGAATAAGGAGATCTTGGTATCGTTGGAAAGCTTTGGATTTCTCCTGCGTGATCAAGCATTTAGACTAGGAGAAAAACACAGAGGTGGTAATATCCAACAGCCATGCATAATGGTTTATGCTCATGCAAATGATGCAAGCATGGATTGCACGAGCACACAACAGGACGTTAGGATGACATGCACTCATACTGACGTGCATACAACACTGATGACCTGCACTCGCCCAGACCTAGCTTACCCTCTTAGTGTCCTAGTGCGCTTTGTTGCGCCTGGGAGACACTGACCTTCCCACTGGTACGCGGCTAAGAGGGTGGAGAAATATGTGGCGAGTACATCAGGCATGGGATTTGTCCTTAGAGGGAAGCAGCCAGTTACACTTACAGGAAACTCGGACTCGTCGTGGGCCAACGACGCAGAGTCGCTACGGTCTATATAGGTTTACTGCTTCAGTCTTGGGATCGGAGCTGTTTCGTGGAGGTCGACTCGGGAGTCGTCAGTCTCCAGTTCCAGATGTGAGGCAGAGGTGTACACTGTGGCATGGACGCCTAGGAGCTTCGCTGGCTATCTCTCCTCCTCACCGACCTTGGTGAGCGGCCTCCCTCTCCCCTAGTCTTGTTCGCCGTTAACAGGTACGCTATCCGGTTGTGCGAGGAGCCCCAACTGGTTGGGAAGGCGATGCATATCCAACTTCGTTACTTTCTTATGCGTGAGTTGCACCAGCGTGGCCTGGCCCGCATGGTACGTGTGGTCTCTGATGCCAACACTGCAGATATCTTCACCAAGGCGTTGCCACCTTATGACCACTAGCATTTTTGCACCCAGCTGGGGCTTGTACCTACAGGCCCTCACCTGCTTGTGTAAAGATGCTTTGCATTGTACTCTTGCATGTCTCTATATTTGCTATATATATCTTCTTGTGGATTGGCCTTATGGCCTCTTGCTTGTGTAGAGATGCTTGTCTTATACATTTGCATTTTCTATATTTGCTATATCCTTGCATGTGGCCCCTTGTTTTCAGGCTGTGTGGTAATCTTGAGATCCACCTCGAGATTTGTTGTGTTCTTGTAAACTGGCCTTGTGACCGTTGCTTGTTCTTGCTGACTGGTGTTGTGACCTTTGTTACGTGTTGCTTTCCACAAGACTACCATCACCTAGACTATGGGGTTGTGTCAAGCTATATTTGTTATAGCTTCTAGTTGTTAGTCTAGGTGTACTTTCTCTTCCCTAGTGTTAGGGTTAGGCTTTCTGTATCTTGCTTGTTTGTTCTTTCCTTAGTCATTGATTCTCATTTTGTAACACCTTTCTCTGGGGCTTCTAGCAAGAGATCTGGCTGAGTCGTCCTCCTGGCTTCACTGGAACATTCTCGCCTAGGACCCAGTGGAGCATGAGACGACTAGTGCACGGTCTCTTGCGGGCGCTCGTTAGTGGCACGAGATTCTTGCTAACCTCGTATTATGTCCTTCATATGCTGAACCGTCGCTCTTTGTTCATTCTGGCCCCACTAATTTCTTCGTCCTCGTCTATATTGACAACTTGGTCTTCGCTATAGCAGACAGGGTTTCTCTGGCTTTCGTGAAGTATGAATTGTAGAAGCGACACATGTGTATTGACCTTGGTAAACTGTGCTGCTACCTTGGCTTGCCGATCACCAGCAACACAGCTGCTCGAACCATCGCTCTGACTCAGCCACACATGGTGCATGTCAGGATATTATATAGCTTATACATTTGTGTAGGCTGTAGTGGGGTATCCCATAGGGGGTACAACCCAATTAGGGTTAGTACTTGTACCCACTTCATTCATAGTTCATTCATTCTCGTTCAAATTCTCACATGGTATCAAGCACGTTCCCCTGTGGGAACTGCGCATAGGGCCCACCACTTCGATTTTTTTTTACTGCCCGAAGCGCGCTCATCCCGAGTCGCGCCTCGGGCTGTTAACTCGACGAGCCGCCCTAGCGGCCTTCCCTCCCCTAGCGGCCCTGCCGCCCTACTGTCGCGGCCCCGCCGCCCCTGATTCGCGGCCTCGCCGCCGTGCTTTACTGGCCCCGCCGCCCTGCTTTAGCGGCCCTGCCGCCCTACTGTCGCGGCCCCGCCGCCTCTGATTCGCGGCCTCGCCGCCCTGCTTAACCGGCCCCGCTGCCCTACACTTCGCGGCCCCGCCGCCCTGCTTTAGCGGCCCCGCCGCCCTACATCTAGCGGCCCCGCCGCCCTACACTTCGCGGCCCCGCCGCCCTGCTTTAGCGGCCCCGCCGCCCTACATCTAGCGGCCCCGCCGCCCTACACTTCGCGGCCCCGCCGCCCTGCTTTAGCGGCCCCGCCGCCCTACACCTCGCGGCCCCGCCGCTCTGCTTTAGCGGCCCCGCCGCCCTACACCTTGCGGCCCCACCGCCCTACACCTCGCGGCCCCGCCGCCCTGCTCTAGCGGCCCCGCTGCCCTACTCTTCGCGGCCCCGCCGCCCTGCTTTAGCGGCCCCGCCGCCCTACACCTCGTGGCCCCGCCCCCCTGCTTTAGCGGCCCCGCCGCCCTACACCTCGCGACCCCGCCGCCCTACACTTCTCGGCCCCGCCACCCTACACTTCTCGGCCCCAAGGCCCTACACCTCGCCGCGCCGCCGAGTACCGGAGGACCGGGCCGCCCAGCTGCAGAGCCGCCCGGCCGCCCACCAGCTGAGCCGCCCAGCCGCCGAGCCGCTGTGCAGCCGAGCCGCCTAGCAGCCGAGCGCCGAGCCGCCGAGCCGCTCAGCTGCCGAGCCGCCCAGCAGCCGAGCCGCCCGACCTGCCCTGTCCGGTGAGCACAGCCCCACTGTCAGTGCGTGCCCTTCCCCTACTGCTTGCACTGCTAGTCTATCGTCAAAATGGCTACCCCTAGTGTCCTCACTTTTGACGCTGAGGGTCGAGCCATTGACTTTGAGGTCTGGGTCGACGACCTGCAGCTGTTTTTACAGTGCGATAGGGCGGACGGTCTTTCTCTCTTTGACCTCACCTCTGGCGCCTCTCCTACCCCTGCTACTGATGCTGACCCCACTGTTTGCTCTCAGTGGGCCACCCGCGATGCTGCTGCACGTCTTGCTATGCGTTGCCACCTGCCTACCACTGAGCGCGTGCACTTTAGTTAGTACAAGAGTGCTCAGACTTTGTACGACGCTGTAGTTGCACGCTACTCTTCTCCTGCCACTGCCGCACTGAGCCGCCTCATGCTACCGTACCTCTTTCCTGACCTTGCTGCCTTTCCCACACTCGCCAACCTCATTACGCACCTCCGCACTAGTGACACTCGCTACCCGCGCCGCACTTCCTGCTGAGTTCTGCGCCAAGAAACCCCCCCCCATGTACATCACTCTCTATTACATAGTCACACGCCTCCCTGACTCCCTTCGCGTAGTCAGGGACCACTTTCTCTCAGTCTGTCCCACCACTCTCACTGTTGACTTCCTTGAGAAGGCCCTCTTGGCGGCGGAGAAGAGCATCGTCGGTGTAGGAGCCTCTCGGGGTGACCCTCGCACCCCCATCTTTGAGGGGTGTTCTCCTTCCCCCCTGCTGCCCTCTATTGCCTCTGCTGCTGCCGCCGACCTGCTTGGTCTTGAGTCGGTCGGCGCGGCGTCTGCCCCTAGCGGGAGACGCCGACCTTGCAAGGGCAAGGGGGGCAAGGGCGCGGGTGGAGCTGGCGGGGGCGGTGGAGGTGGCGGTGGAGGCGGCGGAGGGAGTGGAGGTGGCAATGGGAGTGGTGGCGGGGGTGGTGGTGGTGGTGGCGGCAGCGCAGGCGGAGGCGGTGGCGGCGGCAGCGGTGGGAGCGGAGGCGGCGGTGGTGGCGGAGGTGGAGGCGGCGGTGGCGGAGGGGGTGGAGCTGGTTGGGGTGGTGCCCCGCAGCGGAGCGGCTCTGGTGGTGGTGAGCGCCAGCAGCAGGAGCAGCGTTCTCGAGACATCCCCCCGCCTCAGCAGCTTCGTGAGTGGTACGCACACCGTCAGCGTGGTGGGGGTTTTGATCCGTGCACCTACGTCCTTCGTTCTAGCGACCGCGCGGGTGAGCAGTGTGGGGGTGCCCACCCCACCCAGCGCTGCTTTAGCCGCCTGACGGACGCTTGGCGTCAGCAGTTCCCTGAGGCTAGTGAGATTCCCCGCTGGGGAGAGGTGTCTAGGGCTGGCGTAGCTATGTTTGATCTTGACTTTGATGCTATCCTTGCTGCCATGTATGCTGTGACTATTAGTGATGAGGGTGACTGTTACCGGTGTTTCCCGCCCGACCCGGGCATTGGTACTGCTGCACTAGGTACTTGTGAGGCTGCTGCTCTAGGTGCCAGTGCGTCTACGCTCTCAGTTGCTGGTGAGGCTGCGCTCTCAGGTACTGCGTCGGCTTCGGCCTCCCTCACCTTCACACTTGACTCAGGGGCTTCTCGCTCCTTCTTTCGAGACCGCACCACACTCACGCCGCTTGGTCGGCCGGTTGCAGTCTCCCTGGCTGACCCCTCTAGGGGCCCTGTCCTCTCTCACTTCTCCACTGTCCTCCCGTGTCCGGCTGCCCCCTCGGGCACCCTGTCTGGTTTGTACCTCTTCTCGTTCTCGACGAACTTGGTGAGTGGTGTTGACCTGCAGGATACGGGGGTTCACCAGTTCACTCCTGCGAGTCAGCGGGTGACCCACTGCACGGACGCTCGGACGGGCCGACACCTGGCCACGTTTACACGTCGGCCAGGGTCAAGCCTGTACACACTGACCATTGCGTCTCCTCCAGTCACTGCGTCTGGTCAGCTAGCTGCGTCGGGTCAGGTGTTTGCTGCCGCATCCAGGTCTGGTATTGAGTCTGCCCCCTGCTCGTGTCACCTCCTGTCTCACGAGACTCTCCTGTGGCACCACCGTCTTGGCCACCCCTCCTTTCCTCGTCTTCGGGGCATGGCTTCCCGTGTCCTTGTCTCTGGTCTCCCCCGGTCTTTCCCTCCCCTTCCTTTGGGGCCAGGACCTTCCTGTGTCCCTATGTCCAGGGGCGGCTCAGGGCTGCCCCTCACTCCTCCCTGTTTCCCACGACACAGGCTCCTCTGCAGACGCTTCACATGGACGTGTGGGGCCCGGCCCGCGTCCGTGGACAGGGCCACGAGCGCTACTTCCTGCTGGTGGTTGACGACTACTCGCGTTACACCATCGTCTTCCCCTTGCGCAGCAAGGGTGATGTCACTGAGGTGTTGACCGACTCGATCCGCGTAGCTCGTCTCCAGCTCAGGAGGAGCTTCGGTTGGAGCTTTCCTGTCCTGCGTCTGCACTCTGACCGAGGTGGAGGGCTCTCCTCTGGCCTTCTATGAGCCTACTGTCGTGTGCGAGGCATCCGCCAGACCTTTACACTTCCGGACTCTCCACAGCGAAATGGGATTGCTGAGCGCCGCATTGGCATGGTCATGGACGTCGCTCGTACGTCCATGATGCATGCGGCTGCCCCCCATTTTCTGTGGCCGTTTGCGGTTCGGTACGCGGCGCATCAGATTAACCTTCACCCCAGGGTCTCCCGGCCGGAGACCTCCCCAGCTCTGCTGTGGACGGGGAAGGTCGGCGATGCGTCTGCGTTCCGTGTCTGGGGATCTCGGGCGTTTGTCCGCAACTTGTCTGCGGACAAGCTGTCCCCTCATGCTGCTCTCTGTGTCTTTCTAGGCTTCCCCCCTGACGCCCTAGGGTGGCAGTTCTACCACCCCTCCTCTCGTCGTGTTCTGTCCTCCCAGGACGTCACGTTCGACGAGTCAGTCCCATTCTACCGCCTCTTCCCCTACCGCACTCCTTCCCTCCCCCCGCCACCGCACTTCCTTGTGCCAGGTCCCCCCCAGGTAGACCCCCTTCCCCCTCAGGGTCCTGCACCTTCAGGTGTGTCCCAGGTAGACGCAGTCGAGCCGGTCGAGGTTGCTGGTGACTCTGGTACTGCTGCGGGTGCTGAGCCTGGGGGTGCTGACTCTGGGGGTACTGCGACTGGGGGTGCTAAGTCTGGGGGTGCTGAGCTTGGGGGTGCTGCAACTAGGGGTGCTGAGCCTGGGGGTGCTGAGCCTGGGAATGCTGAGCCAGGGGGTGCTGCGACTGGGGGTGCTGAGACTGGGGGTGCTACGTCAGGAGCTGCTAAGCCATGGGGTGCTGCTGAGCCTGGAGTTGCGGAGCCTGCGGCCACTGGACCTCTCCCCCTGGCGTCTCGCGGTGCGGGGCCTGGAGGCTCACCGGGTGCTTCGTCTCGGCGGGAGCCACTCTCTCTACAGGAGCTGCGCGAGTGGTTTGCTCGCCGCTGCAGGCGTACTACTGGAGCTGGAGCTTCTTAGGGTCCGCCTGGCGCTGGAGCTACTGAAGGTGTTGGTGCTGAGACTGCTGCTGTCCTTCCTAGCGGTGGTCCTACTGCGGGTGCTGCTGGTGCTTGTGGAGGTTCTGCCGCTGGAGGTGCTGTTGGCGCTGGTGCTGCCGCTGTGGGTGCTGGTGCTGTCCCTGCTGTGTCTAGAGTTGCCAGCGCGGCCTCGCCGTACTTCGTTCCGCTCCCGCAGCAGGTTCTTGGTCTTTCTCCTCCTGTAGAGTTTCCACCGCCTGTCCAGTCATAGTCATTGTTACCAGCCGGCCCTCCCCACTGCCTTCTCCTTCTCCGTACACTGGTCCTACTGGAGGTCTTGCTGAGCGTCTTGAGCCTGCGTCCCGTCCTGCGTCGCCTGTTCATGCTGCTCGCACTAGTGGTCGCAGTTCGCAGTCAACGTCCTCCTCCTGTCCCTGGCACGCACCGGATGTCTCTGCGTCCGTCCACTGCTCCTCTGCGTGCCCCTTTGCCCTCTCCTCCCGAGTCCTCTCTTCCTGCGCTTGCCGACCCGGAGTCGGACTCTCTTGGGAGACACCGACTAGAGCACATGGCTGCAGCGAAGAGGGTGTTGCGCTACTTGTGCAGTACGTCGGGCATGGGGCTAGTGCTTGGAGGGCGGAGTCCAGTGGTCCTCACTGGGCACGCGGACGCTTCTTTGGGCTGACGACCAGGCTACGCAGCGGTTGTCACAGGGTTACACCTTCAGCCTTGGTTCCGGCTCTGTTTCGTGGCGGGCTACCCGCTTGTCTTCTGTTCTCGGCTCCAGTTGTGAGGCTGAGATCTACGCCGGGCCATGGCTGCTCAGGGAGCTTTGCTGGCTCACCTACCTGCTGACTGACCTTGGAGAGCTGCCTCGTTCTCCTCCAGTGCTGTACGTAGACAACAAGGCCATGCTGGCCTTGTGTCGAGAAGCAGCGCCTGAGCACAGAACGAAGCACATTGCTCTCCACTACTTTCTTGCTCGTGAGCTGCACCAGCGTGGTTAGTTGCGACTTGCGTACGTGGCCTCTGAGTCCAACACTGCTGTTGTTTTCACTAAGGCAACTTCCGCCTTGTGATCATCAGCGCTTTTGCACTCAGCAGGGACTTGTACGTGTCTTACCACACTTGCTCACCTCTTGATCTTCTTGTACTCTTGCATAAATATATATATATATACCCGCTCTTGCTTGTTTAGTGTTATATATATATATGTGCTCTCCTGCATGTGAACTGGCCTTGTGGCCTTGACCTTGTGCTCGGACTGTGTGGTGACTTTCTGATCCACCCTGAGCTTGCTTTGCTTGACTGGTCTTGTGACCCCTTTTTCTCCCCACTTTGCCTATGGGGGTGTGTCAGAAGATTATATAGCTTATACATTTGTGTAAGTTGTAGTGGGGTATCCCATAGGGGGTACAACCCAATTAGGGCTAGTACTTGTACCCACTTCATTCATAGTTCATTCATTCTCGTTCAAATTCTCACAGTGCAGTAGGTCCTTCAGCGGTTTGAGCTTCATTTCTCCATCACACAACCCACTCCTCTTAACGTTGACCACAGACGCACTGCTCCTCTCCCCGACAAGCCTTTTGAGCTTAATGGTCCCTACGTGGAGCTTGTGGTTTGCCTCATGTACTTGATGACGTGTACTCGTCTTGACCTAGCTCGCTTTGTTGCGACTAGGAGACAACGTCCTGTTTGTTGGTCGGCTTCTGTGAGGGTAGCAAAGTACCTGGCGACTACATCGGGCATGGGGCTTGTGCTAGGAGAGAGAGAGCCAGTGCAACTTACTAGTCACTGTGACTCGTCCTACATCAATGATTGGAGACCTGGAG